TGCTGAGTCACCATTTAAATCAGGGGTGTCAAACATACGGCCCGTGGGCCAAAACTGGCCCGCTCTGGGGTTCTATCCGGACCCCTTGATGACAAAAGGTAAAGAAATCGTAATTGAGAAAATGTGATTCTTCAAGATTTAAAAACAAGGGTGTGAAACATATGGCCTGTGGGCCAAAACTGGCCAACAGGCACAAACACTTCATGTTGGTGATGTTTAGTTAAATTAATTTTAATTAAATACGAATGTTCTCTAATATTCTTGCACGTATTTGCAGGAAAACAAAGGGGAGAAACGTGGACTTATTGCTATTTATAGGTAGATATGTTATGATTGCTCTGGTCCGGCCCACTTGTCATCTATTCAGGATGTATGTGGCCCCTGCACCGAAATGAGTTTGACACCACTGATTTTAAATAATGGTCTGCAGAAAACCTACATGCCTGAAGCACGATCTGTGTCATGTTCCTTTTGTCTTTTTAATGCTAATAAATACAGAAACGATAGATCACAGTGGGGAAATAAAAACAGAAAGCCTATAGTCTGTGCAACAGGTCAGCCCATAATCAGTAATCTATGCTCCTTCCGCAGATTCAATTCCTCAGGGGAGATACTGCTGATTATTTGAAAACATCAGAAGAAGAGTCGGCAAAAATGCTGATTGGAGGGGTGACATTGCTTAGCACAAGAGCAGTGGTTTAATGGGCTTGTGGCGACACGTGATAGATCACCCCATCTCATCTTTATCGAATCAGGAATAAACCAGAGTCTAATGTCAGACAGCACAACTGTTTTCGGGAACACGTTTAATCTGCCTTTTTAGCTGCAGAATTACTGGTGTGTTCTTCCTCCGCTTCCCCTAGTTTTATTCAAATGTATTCAAAACAAGGATGAAAGTGCTGGTGCGGGGTGAGATTCTGGCAAAGTAATCGTCAGATCCATGATAATGAGACATTAGTAGTGCAGGTCTTTTGTCTCTGGCACGTGTGAACCCAACTGCAGCTCTGACATAAATTACTGTGCTGCGGCATGGCGTAGAGTTTAGACAATTATAAATTTTGTTTTCTAAAGCTTCTGTGGTTCAGTTGTACTTGAGCCGAAGAAGTTACAATGCTTAATGTCAAAGGCATTGATTAATATAATTATTTTATTGATGTATTGTTATTATTTTGATTGATTTTGACTGACTGATTTTATACTTACTGTATTTTCCGGACTATAAGATGCTCCGGAGCATAAGTCGCACAAGCCAAAGGATGAAAAAAAAAAAAGAAAAAAGTGCAACTTACAGGAGTAGCTAATACTGGTACACAAGCATAGAGTGCCCTCTTGCAGCTGTATGTAATGCAGAGAAGTATGTAATCTGTGCACTGTATAAGTCGCTCTGGAGTATAAGTCGCACAAGCCAAAAAAATACATAATGAAGAAAAAAAAAAAGTATAAGACGATCCGGAGTATAAGTCGCACCAGCCAGCTAGAGTGCCCACTAGCGGCTGTCAGTGTGAAAATAACAAAAATGGGAAATGTATTATATAAGTCGCACCAGAGGACAAGGCGCAAACCCATTGGCAGAAAAGTAACAGAGACCCCAGTCAGATGCATCAGGTCTGCAATAAAACATAAAAAAAGTTTTTTTTTAAATGGGACAAAGAGACCCCTTTTTGGATCAATGTTTAATGAATTCTATTTGCACTTTTTTTTTTTTGGATTGATGAACAGCACTGATGTACCATTAATGGTGAGGTCTGTCTGTGCTTTAGGTTCCTTTGGCTCTGATGGAGAAGTGGAGCTGCTCTTCAGCCTGCTTAACAAAGACTGAAACATCATCTGCACGTTTGCATAAGAGACATCCTGCGCCGTCTGTCGACATAAAGAAAGAGGCAAAAATAAATACAAATATGTAACTATGTGATGACATTAAAATGTACAAATTGTGAATGTACGTTACCAAAAAGCTGAGCAAATATGGTAGAACCTCCAGAAGTGCATGATCAAAACATTTTTAGAAAGCATTGACATCAAATCATAAAGAAGAATTTGTAGAATTTTTACATGTACTATGTTAATAGCAGAGGTAGAAAATGTATTAGGTAGAAGGAATATACCCATGGGTACAAAAGGAAAGCCGTTACAAAACATGCCATTTTTTACATGCCTTAAAATGACTTGCTTACAAATCTTTCTATCCATTCTGTCCAAAAGGTAAACAGACTTGCTGTATGATATTTGTGCATTTTACATTCATTAAATACCTGATGTGTTTATCATTACCAGGACACAAGAACTGAACTGAAGTTGGAAATTAATTATGCTGAGATGCATAATAAGTTTCCAGCCGTTTTTCGTGCCCTAGACCAGGGAGTTTTCAAACTTTTCCATGCCATCCCCCTCTCCCTCCTAAACAGCATTAACTTCAGGCTGGGGACACCCTTTACAAAACTGCGAACAATGCTAATACAAAATATGTAAAGAACTGTCAACTTTTATAATATATATTTTTCTTACTATTATTATAATATAATATATAATTATAATTATAATATTAATTATAATTAATAATAATTTCTAATAAAATAATGTATTTTAAAATAAAATAAAAAATAATTTCTAATTATAATATATATATAATATATTATTATATATATTATTATTATTATTATTATTCACCTTTCAATAATTGTTTGCATAACAACAATATATTATCAAATGTGTTGTCACCTCTGTATATTCCCACTTAACAATGAACTGTAGCTCCCCTTCTTTGGTCTATTTTTGGTCAAAACCTGTGTATTTTGCTGGCTAAATGCTAGCGTCAGGAGAATAGCAGCTTGATAACAGGTGCAAAGTTGCAGCAAACACACGAGGTGCATTCAGGTATCACTGGAAACCTCTGAGAATCCGACGATTACGGTGTTGTACGGTACAGGACAATTGGTTATAAAACAAATATTTTGACATCATTAATACATTGTGTGTGCCATGGTGGTTGGAGTATTTTTACCTTTACTTGTTGCCCGTTCTGTGTCTTGAGTAGACTCTTGTCATCGGTTTTAATGCCAAAGGAAAGGTAGGGACTAGAAACGATGTCACCCCAGTAGCCTCTCGCAGCCACTTTGTTTCCGCCCTGTAAACATGTGGCCTGAGTCAAGTTCCCTTATGAGTAAAGAAATAGGACTTTGAAAACAGAATCACTGCACTTACCTGACTAAACACTCTAAACGACAGCAAGCTGGGATTTGGTACTTGGTAGATGCCTTCCCTCATTTCAAACGCTAAACCACTTCCCCTCCATTGGGTGTACTCTTGTTTATTTATGGTACAACACTGGAAGAGTACAGTAGGTCACCAAAAGATTAGGCTCCAAAATCTCACAAGATTAAAGCCTTTAAAATGCAATTGCAATACTTTGTATGATGCACAGACAAGAAATACACACACACCAGGCAATTTGAAGTATTCCAACAATCCTACTGAATCTCCATGAGGATAATATAAAGAACGAACACACACAAGTACGATTGGGAGGCTAAAAGAAAAAATGTGAATATACCCCTTTCTCATGGAGTTTCATTGTAAGGTCCCAGTCAAAGCAGCCTTTCCTGAAGTCATATCGTGTCCCGAGATGTTGCCTCACGCGATTGTCCCAGAGTTTCGACATAGGCAAAAGACCGGAAGCCTCCGAAAGAGATTTTGAAGAATGAGGTTGCGTCCATAGCTTGAATATACGAGCCAGCTCATCCTGCTCCCTGAACTGGAGATATAATTAGTGAACTTTATTACACATTATTATACATTTGAATTTAGTTGCTCTAAACCAGTACTTCTCAAAGAGTGAGGTGGGCACCCTGGGGGAGTAGATTCCAATGGAATAAGGCTCGCTGGACATAAGTGTACCACTGCTGTAATGCTTGAATGATAACAAGCCTCCAGTCACTAGGTGGCAGCAACTCATACAGTGGTTTGTACAGATATAAAAAATATACAGTACATGTTATCAGGTTCTCAAAAGTATTTCAATTTGCAAGGGTGTGGGTTGGAGAGTGGACGGGAGTGGGGAGGGTTTGGGGGGGGCAATCGTGAAAACATTTCTGTCCCCAAGGGGGGGCATGACAGAAATTAATTGAGACACACTGGTTTAGCCTGTAGAACTCAGTGTTTAATTGGGAATCGAAATGAACAAATTGATATCACCCACAATACCCTAATACCCTAATATGATTTGTGTGAATAAGCCATTTCAGATTTGACAACGGGAATTATCTTCATGGTTTTATTAGGGTCCCATCTTTTTAAACTCTCTCTCTCTTTTGTTACAATAGGTGAAGACACCAGCAGAGCATAATAGGCTTCCAAGGGTTTCGGAGACTCAGACTGAACTCGACCTGTGCCTTAATTTTACAGTCAGAAATGACAGTGTGCAGATGGGTCTGCAGTGAGGAGAGATATTCACAGCTTAATGATCCTCTATAAATAGTAGAATTACCTTCTAGACTCTAGGCAAATCACCGCCGCAGCCAAAAGCGTACCACTGAGGCAAGAAAGATTATATATAGACCCCTTGGGAGCATCACACTTGTGCATTAATCGTTCATAAAATATGACCTGACCTTTAGCTAAGTGAAGACAAATACAATGTGTTTAGCTATAGCCTACACTTTATTGCAATTGTGCAAACTGGTTGAAAACGCATTCAGCGTTCATATTTGTGTATAGCCGGGGGGTCGAACCCATTTATACCGGAGGGCCACATTAGCAGTTCACTTCAGGTTTGTCAAATTATATTTAATTAAATATAATTATTTTGTTGAGTACTATATTATAATTGTACTGGTCCGGCCCACTTGACAGCTAATCAGGCTGTATGTGGCTCCTGAACCAAAATGGAACCTATGCCTGTAGCACAAACCAAGACTTGAGAATGGCTCCTGAACCGAAATGGAACCTGTGCCTGTAGCACAAACCAAGACTTGAGACTTGAGTTTTACCTTAAAATGACTTGAAGCAAGACTTGGACTCAAGGTTTGGGACAAGGGTGCAGGTGTAGCATTTGTTATCACATCTGGTTATATAGCCTTCACGCAGACTGCAAACAAGAAAACAGCACTTTGCAAAGTATGTATCATTAGCATAAGTGACGTCGGTGCAACTACGTGCAACTACGAGGATGGGTGAGTCACTTGGTGAAGACAAATTAAAAACTCGGCTTTATTGTCCCCCAAACGACATTACTGTTTTTAATCAGGGGCTCAAGGGGCTTCAGTCAGAGGAGATGGTTAAGCAGCTTAGGCTACCAGTTACTAAACTCATTGTAAAGTTTACGTGAATGTAGCGTAACATCAACTTTATACCTGTTCAGGGACACGGTAATATTATCAGAGCATGCGATAAAATTCAAGGGCACCTTTTTTATATCTAGGTTTACCTTAGTGTGTTTATTTAGACCAGGGGTGTCAAACATACAGCCCGCAGGCCAAAACCGGGTCAATCTGGGGTTCAATACGGCCCGCTTGATGAATGTGGAAAGTGAAAAAACACTGCATAATAGTGATGTTTTGTCAAATATTTTATTAAATATATATTTTTTCGAGTAAATTTCTGCAGAAAAAACATGGACTTATTTATGATTTATTCATAGGTAATTATTTAATGATTGTCCTGGTCTGGCTCACTTGATATCTAATTGGGCTGTATGTGGCGCCTGAACCAAAATGAGTTCGACAACCGTTATTTAGACTATTAGTAACAGTTTCTTACAGAACAGCCGTCACAAAAATACTGCATTGTACCGCCTCGTTACTGCTGTATAATTATGCTCTTATACAGCAGCAGAAAAGTGAAAAATACCTTAAAATGATTTGATATCTGTCTATCCCGTTTCATTTACCGAAACCATAAACTAACCGGGAAGGCCAAGCTGACTGTGTACGTTAGCATGTGCGTTAACAGAAGGACTCACGCCTACACGTGTCTGCCAGGTGTAGTGTCTGAAATATACACCAGAGTTCATGTCATAATTCATCTGAACACAGACAAAACTGTGCCTCTTCGTAAAACCATCACTCTCCCGTTTGACACAACCAGCTCAGGGGGAAAAAAAGATTTGAAGTAAAAGACACCAAACACCAGCAGCAGCCAGACGTGAGTCTCTTCCCCCCCCTCCACCCCCTTACCCTCAAGACATATGTCGATTGGTTTGTGGCAGAGCATAGACCATTCCATTCAGAAGCCCGCTGTGAGCTTGAAGACAGGAAACAAGCCACCAGTTTTCACTTTCATAAGCAGGAGTGTCTGTGTGCTGAACGGAGCCTAATGCTGCTTTGTCCCGTTCTGCTTCCACCGAACACATTGTAAGTCTAGACCCCATCTGGACCCCTAACAAGCGAGTCTTCACACATGCATCCCGAGCTACATTTTTGTTTTTGCCAGAAAAACAAACAAGTGTTTCCCCCATAGGGTTATTCGTCTCAGATTGCTTAAAAACCCAGCCAAATTATTAACAAACGGGAGAAACAAAATCCGTCGTGCATAGAAGCGAGGTGTTCCTCTCACACAATACATCTGCAGGTAAAGCATCAGTTCACAGCAAAAATGATTTAATGTTCGTCCTGAGGTTTAAACATAAGGTTGCCAACTCAGCGCTGGACGAATTCGGGTTGCTGGATAGCCATTACATATGATACGATGGTTCCAGCTGTGGGTGTTTTTTTGTTTTTTTGTTATTTACATAGACCTGGCGTCTACAGACAAGCAAATCCAGGCGGGGTGGAGAAACTGGAGGGAGCTGCCTGGTGTGCTGCGCGAAAGGAGGGTATCGGCCAGGAAAAAAGGAAAGGTCTACAAAGTGGCAGTGACCAACCCTACCCGGAGATAGGAGCGGAGACATGGGGTACCAAGAAAACCCAAGAGAACAGGCTGGATGCAGAGATGAGGATGCTATTCTGGGCAGATGGACACACCCTGATGGACCATGCGGAGAACACCGAGATAAGAAAGAGGATGAAGGTGACGGAGTTGCACCAAAACGAGAAGAGAGTACGGTGGTATGGCCACGTGATGGAGAGATCAAGATCAAGTGACAAGGAGAGTGCTCCTAGACCAGGTGGATGAACTGTATAAGAAAAGACCTGGCTGAGAAGTGACTGGTGGAACGCTTAGAGGTCCATGACCAGATACGGCAAGCCAGGAGAAGAAGAAGAAGACATTGCTTTGAGATCAGACAACGACTTTAACAAGTACATAAAACATTAATAAACATAAACATTAGCCTTTCAGAGCGTTAAACGAACGAACCGTGTGCAGGAAAAGGAGATTGAAATGCCACATCATCGACATTGCTACGCTTACTCAGAAAGCTCAATAAATCTTCGGAGAGCTTCACAACCTTGGAAATTAATGTATTTCTAAACAAATTCAATCTGTGAAAAGGTGACAAATTACTTAAGGGATTAGAATGTTTTAATTTGTAAAACACATCACTGGAAGCGGACACAGAAGCAGTCTGGAGTGCCTTCTTAATCCAAAACTGTCTCCATTGGCTATATGTGTGCCATTTAAAGGCAGACTGTACAGAAAACCTTTATAAGAGGGGAAAAAACAATCTGGATTATTTGTGCAGCACAAAAATATGCCTATTTTTAAATAAGTAACATCATCTATGTCTTTAATGAATTACTACACTGGATACATATTTTATTAGAGTACAGGATTAAGCGTAGTATGTAGTTAGGAGTAGGTAATCTGTGTACTGTATTTTTCGGACTATAAGTGCACCAGACAAAAAACGCATAATGAAGAAGCAAAAAAAAAACATATATAAGTCATCCCGGGATTATAAATTGCACCAGCCAGCTAGAGTGCCCCCTAGTGGCTGTCAGTGTGAAAATAACAAAAATGTAAATTTTAAGTGGTACAGGAGTAGCAGATACTGGTACACAGGCCTAGAGTGCCCTCTAGCGACTGTCAGTGTGACAATAACAAACATGTGAGTCGTAACTCACATGTATAAGTATAAGTCGCAAACTCAGCCAAAGGATAAAGAAAAGTGCGACTTATAGTCCGGAAAATACAATATTTTCAACTCTAGGGCTTGTTCTCTGATACGAAGATAACCAACTCCAGGGCTTGTTCTCTGATACGAAGATAACGAAGTAAAAGTTAAGCATAATTTTTCTGCTACAGAATAAGTTCATGTACATTTAAACACTTTGCTTACAACATGATCGATTTATACCTGCTTGTACTACTCTAGCAATGAAAACATCAGTTATTTTAACAACTTGTCAATACGGTTTGCAGACATGCAGCCCTAAATCTTCAGTATCCACTGAAGTTTGCTGTTTCCTGAAGAGACAGCCTCTACGACTTTATAGCTCCTTAGTTAAACTGCTAGCTTGTAACACAGCCATAATTTCAGATTTTGACTCATCAGTCAAATGCACCTGCTACCCTTTTTGGTAACCCAAGTCAGGTCAGGTTTTTCCTGGCCAATTAATGGGTGTAAATGCCCCAATGACATGTCTTGACTTTTTTTTTTTACGGAAAATTAGGTTAGTCTAAAAGAGCTTGAATAGTACATGTTAAAGGTTAGCCTAAAAGAGCTTGAATAGTACATGTTAACACCAAGGTGCCTGAATGTGTCCATTAGTGTGATTCCTCCAAAGGTGTAGATGAGGGAAGATGAGGGAAAAAAAAAAAGGAATAAAATCATTTTGAACTCAAGCTGCTCTGCTCCTCTAGCTAGCATGTAGCTATCTAGCGCAAAACGGACAACACACATTTTGCCAGGGCGAGGAACCCTTTTGGCATTTTTTACTGTGT